GTGGGTGGAGCCTTAGTACAATACAGTGAACCCTCACTGTTTACAATGGTTGTGACCCGTTCCTTGATACAAATAGCCGGAAAAAAAAAAAGAATGCCCCAGCCATTTTTATTTTATTTTTTTATGATTAAATAAACAGTTTGTACTATGTAAGACCTTATTATCATTCCAAACTACCACGTAATGAATATAAGGGTACGTTCACAATGCAGGGTGTGATGCCTAATTCAGGTTTTTCATGATATCATAGTGCAGTGGCATCGTATCCATTTATATTCACATATGAAATAGGCCCAGGTCGGATTTGAAAAAATTGGAATTTTACTGTTCACACTGCATGAAAAAAAATCTGAGACCTGTCGCATATGGGCAAAGAAATCGGAATTGAGCTGCAGTGTAAACAAAAAAGTCTTAAGTATTCTTACGTATGTCTGGACCTTTGAAAACTGAGGACCCCCTATATCTAACTTGATCTTGCAGTATATTGAAGCATCCAAGCTGACATTTTGTCTGTTGCAGTTTCCCGTCAAGGTCAAATGGAGGCAGTCTGCAGTTACTTGGCACTGCCTTCGAATGTGTTCCAACTTTTCCAGGAGCACAAAGACACTGTGGCACCACTGCTGCATAGGTGGGTGTTTAATTTTTGCAATCATGTTTTGTCTGTCAACATAAATGATGAAATAAACTTTTTTTTTTTTTTTTGCTTTAAGGTGGTGCAGCAGCCCAGCAATAACCAAACATCTGAAAGGCATAACTCAAACAGTCAGGTAATTTATTTGCTTTTTAACTTTGAGCCACGTTAGAAACTTCCTATTCAGTCAGCAAGTTCTTGTTGAACAGATACCCAAGGAGAAGAAATCAACTGATCGACCTCCCAGAGGACTATAGCGCTCTGCTCAATCAAGCCAGCCATTTTCAGTATGTGCAGCACACTTCCTTCATTCCAAAGGAAAGTTTTGGCTTCGAGGACTCAATCTTGTGTGCTTGCCCTCAGGTGTCCCAAGTCCGCAGATGACGAAAGGAAACATCCCACTTTGTGCCTATTCTGTGGCGCCATGCTGTGCTCTCAGAGCTCCTGCTGCTTCAGTCAGCTGAATGGAGAAGATGTGGGCGCCTGCACCGCACATGCCGCCACCTGTGGTGCAGGAGTGGGCATGTTCCTCAGGTGAGTTTCAAGACCCAAATATTAATTGTTCCTTCAATGTACCCACAATTTTGTCGTGTAATATCATTTCTACCTCCTGTCAGGATAAGAGAGTGTGAAATTGTACTGATGGCCAGTAAGACCAGAGGAAGCACATATCCCGCTCCTTATTTGGATGACTATGGCGAGACTGATCCTCATCTCGGGTAAGAATCTCTATTTGGTTCTTGTGTTTGCTGTCATAATAATAATAATGTTAAGAATAGTAATACATATTGTGTTGGGGGGGTGGTCATTATGTAAACTCATTGTTAAATAACAGTGGGACAGGTGTGCAGAGTAGCTCACTCACCCAAAAGTGGGCATATCAAACATGTACTTGATTGTTAAATTTTGGCTGGGTAGGCACTCCTGAGACCATGTCTTAAGACAGGCTCTTGAAAAGTAAATTCTCCATATGTTAATCAACTGTTGTTGTTTGTTCCTAAGGAGGGGCAATCCGCTGCACCTTTGTCCAGAGCGTTACAGGAAGTTGAAGAAGATGTGGCAGAATCACTGCATACTGGAGGAGATTGCTTGCAGCCTGGAGCTGGTCAACGTCATGTTTGCTTTTGACTGGCAAATGTTGTGATGTTGCAGCCAGTTGGTCAGAGCAGACTGAGGCCATCGGAGCTGCTGTCTGCCGCTCCCCCCCCCCCCCCCCCCCCCACGATGTGCGTACACGCACGCACATTGACGTTTTCTCGGAAGCCCCAGCTTCCTGCTGGAGCGAAGAGAGAGTTTAGAGAGAGCAAGAGGAAAGTGCCAGACAACGAAGATTAGGAGGGAAAGAAAGAAATGGAGGTTGTGTAGTTGATGAACAAAGCGCATTAGCCTTGTTTTAATTTGTCATCTCTGATAATGCAAATAACCTGCCGGTGGAGACTTAAAAAAAAAAAAAAAAAAAAAGACACAGTAGATTACGATTCACATGCAATCACCTTCATGTTGTGATGTCACTTCAACATTTAAAAATGTTGATATCTCACTAGCCTTGCATCTTTCAGCAACTACCGATTTCCTCAGCTTTTTTTTTTCTTTTAGATTGAACCCCTCTCTGGGGTTTCTCTGTAACAAATCATATAAAACACGGTGCATCCAGAAAGTATTCACAGCGCTTTTCTTTCCACATTATGTTACAACCTCATCCCAAAATGGAATACATTTATTTTTCCCTTAACATTCGACACACAACATCCCATAATGACATGACAATTTTTTTTAAACTACGTTTTTTTCCTATTTATTAAAAATAAAAATGGGAAAAAGTAAAAAGAAAAAGTATTGAGCTTGAGGCTGTGAATACTGACGCACATGTGATTTTCATGTTTTTTTAATTTTTAATAAATTTGCCTACAAAAAAAAATCCACATCATTATGGGGTGTCATTTATAGAATTTTGAGAGAAAAATGAATTTATTCCATTTTGGAATTAGGCTGTAACAACACTATGGAAAAAATGAAGCACTCTGAATACGTTCCACATGCACTATGTACACAATACCTGACTCACTGATTGTGACCTTCCCCTGATTAACAGAGACACTTTTCATCACTGCTTCAAGCAAACAAAAACTATGTTATCGGAACACCTTTTCATTGTATGCTACCCTTTGGAAAAAGGTGAATTCATTTATTAAAAATAAAAATGGGAAAAAGTATTGAGCTTGAGGTTGAGGCTGTGAATACTGACGCACATGTGATTTTCATGTTTTTTTAATTTTTAATAAATTTGCCTACAAAAAAAAATCCACATCATTATGGGGTGTCATTTATAGAATTTTGAGAGAAAAATGAATTTATTCCATTTTTGGAATGAGGCTGTAACAACACAATATGGAAAAAGTGAAGCACTCTGAATACGTTCCACATGCACTATGTACACAATACCTGACTGACTGATTGTGACCTTCCCCTGATTAACAGAGACACTTTTCATCACTGCTTCAAGCAAACAAAAACTATGTTATCGGAACACCTTTTCATTGTATGCTACCCTTTGGGTACTGTTCACACTGCATGGAAAAAAAATCAGATACCTGTCGCATATGGGCAAAGAAATCGGAATTGAGCACACAATACCTGACTCACTGATTGTGACCTTCCCCTGATTAACAGAGACACTTTTCATCACTGCTTCAAGCAAACAAAAACTATGTTATCGGAACACCTTTTCATTGTATGCTACCCTTTGGAAAAAGGTGAATTTGGTGCATTTGTGCTATTTGATAGCACAATATGATAATAAAAATCACCATCTAATCTATAAGTCTCCTACTTTAGCATATGTACAATACAGAAACAAATGGGATGGATTGTGAAAGTATCTGGTTGTTGATTCAAATTGTTTGAACTCCAAGTTGGTCAAGGCAAGTTCTTGTTTTTTGTCAATCTGCACTGCAGTGGATACAAAAAGTCTGCACACCCCTTTTCACAATGCCAGGTTTCATAGATGGTGGGGGCTGGAAATAGACCAAGATTATAAAACATTTTACTTTTTACGATTCTGTAACCTATAACCAGTACCACTCAATTAGAGAAAAAAAGTATACCAGAATATATATTTTTGGGAGAAAAAAATATTTATATACCAGTATATATATTTTGAAGAGGGAATTTAAACATTTAGACCTGAGGTTTGGTTGCATAAATGTGCACACCCTCGTAACTAGTGATGAATGTTTTCCGAATTAACACATAGTTAAATAGGAGTAAGAGTACACCTGCCATCATTTAAGGAACCTGTGATGAACACCAAATACATTTCACATGTTCTAGTAGGCTTTTCCTGACATTTTTGTAGTCGCAGCTAACATCCCAAGTTGTGGTCCACAGCTGACAGCAGCAGCAGCGGGATCTCATTGAAAGAGATGGCAAAGGATACAAAAGAATTTCCAAGGCATCGTCACGTGGTGAAAATATGGCACAACAGCGAACTTACATTAATGGACGTCGAAATTGCTATGTCTGATGAAACCAAAGATTAAACTTCTTGGCCATAATTTCAAAAGATATGTGGTGCGAACACAACACTTGCTCCTCAGCGATAGAACACTAGCGTACGATGAAGTGTAGAGAAAGCATTGTGATCATGAAATGTCCTTCAGCTGCAAGTGTCCACTTAAGTCAAGGAGGAGGGTGTCACGAACAGTTCCAAGTACTAGTCAGCGTCGTCAAAATTTTGAGGCTTCTGCTGGAAAGCAAATGCATCTTAACTTTATTTAGGGCTAATCAGAGGCACTTTAAATGGTGACTATTGTCTACAGACTCCTATTTAACAAGAGGTGAATAGGATTGGTTAATTCTGAACACAGTCATAGAAGGTGAGCACACATATAAACCCTCGCTGGAGTTCAACAGCAGTGACTTCTCCTTGTTAGGTGGTCCTACTGACACTTCAAAACATGGAAACTGTTGACAAATTTGCTATTTTCCTAAATTTTCAAGTGTCCACGTGACCTGGTCTCCCAATACTTTTTATCATTATAGTCTTTACAACCATTCTACCTCCCAAAAAGATCAATTCAAAACATGGGGTTGGACGGTGAGCTGATGTAAACTTGAGAACAATACAACCTCTTCAAGTTCAAAAAGGCATCATGCAGTTTCTTTGACCAGCACACAAAAATTCTCCAAAATCTTGCAGGACAAAAGATTTCATCAACGAAAACATTACAACGTACTCATCGACAAAAGTTCCTCCAGGTGGTGTGTGGAGAGTGAGGCAAGGCAAGGCCGCAGCATCCACGACCAGACTGTACTGTAACCCCTTAAGTGTCAGAGGCAGGATGTTTTTTACCCTGCACTAAAAAGGCTTTTGATTGAACAAATTACTATTTTCCACATTGGTATTTTCCACAGGCCAGACTATTTAACTATTCCTGGTCAGCTGGCTGCAGATATTTGCTGGGGAGGCACATTGTCTGGCCCGTAGCGAGCTTTGGAAGTGGAAGGTACGTTGATGTTGGGGTCCCCGTTGTTGGCGGTGTCCACGTGGTTGTTTTTGCTGAGGGTTTTGATGATGTTCAGGTTGATTCGAGCCGTTTCTATGAAGCTGTTCTCCAGCAACCAGCCGTCAGATTCGCAGTCGGGGTCTCCAAGTCTCAGCATGTTCTCCAAGGATGTCTGGAGGTAACGCACGCCCGTCAACACCGACAGCTAAAACGGCACACAAGAGGGTCATTAATCGCTTGAAAACACGAGTGGGGAAATCAGACTGTTACGTTTGATTTTTTTTTATTTTTTTTATTTTAAGCGGACATATGGGCCAAGTCATTTGTAGATGATATAAAATATGTAAAACTGTTTATTTGAAGAAAGGAATACTTTGTTGTCGTTACCCTGAATGAAAAACAGTGAAGAAATGACTTTGTTAATTTACTTTGTACAATTAAATGTTTTTCCACCGGATGGCAGAATATACAAGAACAGAGAATAGAATTAGAGTATGTTCACCATCTGTAAACAGGTCCAGATGTCACAGAAAATTTGTGAGTAAATTGAGACAATAGCGGCAGCATGTTAGTAGTTGTGTTCAGAAAATAGTATTTATGTATTTTTTTTCAATAATGTGGCATTTTTGTTTGTTGGTGTGCCGTGAGATGTTTCTAATGCCTTGGCTCCAAAAAAAAAAGGTTGAGAAAAGTTGATTCAGAAGACTGACCTCAAAGAGCCACGTGATGAGAACCGTGAGGCCGATGGAGTGTACGATGCCGCAGTAGTAGTCCAAGAGAACCTGGTGACACCCATTGGGCCACAGGTTGAGCTGCTCCGTGTGGTGGTCATAGTTGAAGTGGGCGGAGTTGTTGCTAATTTGATGCTGGATGCATGGCCGCGGGGCGTTGACATTGCAACAGCTGAAGGGGACGCCGTCCATCAGGTACTTGCCTTCCACGTTGCTCCTCAGGCGACTACGCACGCGAAAAACAAGGAGAAGTTCAGGTGAGGGCAGCACGGTGGGCGAGTGCTTAGCGCATCGACCTCACAGTGTAGAGGTACCAGGTTCGATTCCAGCTCTGGCCTCCCCATGTGGAGTTTGCATGTTCTCCCCGCGCCTGCGTGGGTTTTCTCCGGGTACTCCGGTTTCCTCCCACATTCCAAAATCATGCATGGCAGGCTGATTGAACACTCAAAATTGTCCCTTAGTGTGAGTGTGCGTGTGGATGGTCGTTTGTCTATGTGTGCCCTGTGATTGGCTGGCAACCAGTTCAGGGTGTCCCCCCGCCTACTGCCCGAAGATGCCTGGGATAGGCTCCAGCACCCCCTGTGACCCTTGTGAGGATAAAGCAGATCAGAAAATGGATGGATGGATGGTATTAAGTTGAATATTGAGGTCTCAAAATTATGTAAAAATGGGCAACAGAGATATTTTTAAAAAAGGAAAATATAAATCAAGATAAAGTAACTTAAATCAAAGCATTTTGATGTTATTCTGTTCTTCGTCAATGCTACTCCCTCACAAACAAACAAAATATACTGGACCCCCCC